TTCGAGGGACGTGTCGCGCGCCGCGATGGATACTATATTTCGAGGGACGTGTCGCGCGCCGCGATGGATACTATATTTCGAGGGACGTGTCGCGCGCCGCGATGGATACTATATTTCGAGGGACGTGTCGCGCGCCGCGATGGATACTATATTTCGAGGGACGTGTCGCGCGCCGCGATGGATACTATATTTCGAGGGACGTGTCGCGCGCCGCGATGGATACTATATTTCGAGGGACGTGTCGCGCGCCGCGATGGATACTATATTTTGAGGGACGTGTCGCATGCCGTGACGGATACTATATTTCAAGGGACGTATCGCGCGCTGCAATGGTTACTATTATCGAGGGTCGTATCGCTCGCCGCGATGGATGCATGGACATATATGTCTCCCATGGGTCCCGGACTGAGAAACAACGGGTGTGTATCATTAGGTCAGACATGCATCACTATACTTGACATTGCATTTCATTGCATTGCACTTCTTTATTATTGGTGAGCTTGATCTTGTGTGTTGCTAATCTTGTGAGTGCCTTTCTATGAAACTTGTGACTGATGAATATTGGGCTTATTGTTGAAGATATGCAATTGTTAGAGTGCTGTTGTTGAGGATATGAATTGAAACTATTGATGTTGTTGAGGATATGACATTGTTAGAGTGTTGTGTTGAGCTATGTGCTTTGTAAACTGTGAACTGTTATGTTGGGCTGGTACTAAGCAGGTTGTAGTTGTGGAGGTGGTAAATTGATAAATATTGAGCTTGTTGTTGAGAATATATGATTTGTTAGAATGTTGTTGTTGAGATATGTGCTTGTAAATTGTGAATTGTTAGGTTGGGCTGGTTTTATACAGATTGTAGTTGTGAAGGTTCGGTTGGGGTGTAAGGAGTACTTGTATTCTATCCCCTTAGCTCGTGTTTAGAGGTTTACTTGTTGAGTACCGTGTGGTTTGGTAGTCACTCCTTGCTTCTACAAATTTTGTAGGTTACGAGCCTGGATTTTTGTGGTACTTGTCATTCTCTTCTTTTCCAAGGCTTCTGGGAGATTTGTGAGGTAGTTGTTTGTCTTCTCAGCGATCCTTCTTACTCCTGTTTATGATCTTGTTCTACTCTAGAAACAATGTCATATGAGACTTGTATTTTTCTTTTGATTTAATTGTAATACTTTAGAGGCTTGTACACGTGACAACCAGATTTTGGGGGTATATTTGAGTTTATTATAAAAAAATTTCGCATTTTATTGTAATGGTTGAGTTTTAGGCTGATTTGTCTTGGTGGATTAAGACGAGTGCCATCACGTCATTTTTTGGTCGTGACATTTCATGTCTTCAAGAGAGGTACAACTCATATGCTTTTGCTATTGATATTTGCTTGGTGCATGGATAAGAAAATCCTAGAGTTTATATAGACAAGTTTGGCAAATACAAAACAATATAATAACAATAATAATAGTAGTATGTTTTATAAAACAATAATTATTATTATAATAATTTATAATAATAATAATTATTATAATAATAGTAATTATTATTACTATTATTAAAAAAACAAGTTGGCTCATCCTTATGCTATCATCAATCAATTATATAAAAACATAAAATTAGAAGAAGTATAGGATGATCAAGAGGGATCTGGCTCCCCTCCATTACCCTTTCCCTCCATTTCGTCAAGTGCATCCCTAGATAAGCGACACGTGTCCTATTTAAAGTTTAAAGGTCAAGATTATACTTTATTAACAACTATCATAACCATAGTTAAGTCAACTAATTTTAGAAAACTATTCTCTAAATTTGGTAAAAATTACAATATATTCCATACAAAATTTAATAAATTTTAAAGGTCAAGATTATATTATATTAACAAATATCATAATCATAGTTAAGTCAACTAATTTTAGAAAACTATTCTCTAAATTTGGTAAAAATTACAATATATTTCATACAAAATTTAATATTTATTAATAGCATTAATTTCATCTTATATTTTTATATTTAAATCTTAAAATAGTTGAACATGACGTTTATATTTAATGTGATAAATAATAATCTTCAAAAACATTTGCATTTAAAACAATGTTTTTTTTTATTTCACAAAAAAATAAATATATAAAAGAATATTTTAAGAAAACGTAGATTTTTTCCCTTCAAACGTACAATAACCACATTTTCTCCTTGGAATAATTTTGATATCGTTTAATTCTAAAAACCTTGTCTTTTTATTTTTTATTTTTGTTTCGTGTCTTTTATTTTATGGTTTTTCAACATTGATAATTCTTTTTTTTTTTGTTTCTCAACGTAGTATAATATTTCAAGAGTTGAACATGACGTTTATATTTAATGTGATAAATAATAATCTTCAAAAACATTTGCATTTAAAACAATGTTTTTTTTTATTTCACAAAAAAATAAATATATAAAAGAATATTTTAAGAAAACGTAGATTTTTTCCCTTCAAACGTACAATAACCACATTTTCTCCTTGAAATAATTTTGATATCGTTTAATTCTAAAAACCTTGTCTTTTTATTTTTTATTTTTGTTTCGTGTCTTTTATTTTATGGTTTTTCAACATTGATAATTCTTTTTTTTTTTGTTTCTCAACGTAGTATAATATTTCAAGAATAAAGTTTACTAGTACAAAA